CCCGCAGAAGGAACAGGTACCCGCACGAGGAGCAGGTACCCGCAGAAGGAACAGGTACCCGCACGAGGAGCAGGTACCCGCAGAAGGAGCAGGTACCCGCAGAAGGAGCAGGTACCCGCAGGAGGAGCAGGTACCCGCAGAAGGAGCAGGTACCCGCAGAAGGAGCAGGTACCCGCACGAGGAGCAGGTACCCGCAGAAGGAGCAGGTACCCGCACGAGGAGCAGGTACCCGCAGAAGGAGCAGGTACCCGCAGAAGGAGCAGGTACCCGCAGAAGGAGCAGGTACCCGCAGAAGGAGCAGGTACCCGCAGAAGGAGCAGGTACCCGCAGAAGGAGCAGGTACCCGCACGAGGAGCAGGTACCCGCACGAGGAGCAGGTACCCGCACGAGGAGCAGGTACCCGCACGAGGAGCAGGTACCCGCACGAGGAGCAGGTACCCGCGAGGGGCAGGAGACAACCCGCAGGGAAAAATGGACTCGTTTCCACCCCACTTGATCTCTTTAGCTGTTGTGGGTGATAAACACCTGCCGCCATGCAGGGTAAGAGTATCTGTGGTGCAGGGCGGTGGGATTGAACCTCTGTTCTGCATCACCCTACTTCTATGTCTTGGACTGAATTGTGCATGCGGCTTGCACCTGTTGCTATAGCTGTTAGCTTATACTGGCTACTGATACTATTCTTGGTGTTCTGTTCCTTGTTCAGAACCTTGGTGTTCTGTTCCTTGTTCAGAACCTTGGTGTTCTGTTCCTTGTTCAGAACCTTGGTGTTCTGTTCCTTGTTCAGAACCTTGGTGTCCTGTTCCTTGTTCAGAACCTTGGTGTTCTGTTCCTTGTTCAGAACCTTGGTGTTCTGTTCCTTGTTCAGAACCTTGGTGTTCTGTTCCTTGTTCAGAACCTTGGTGTTCTGTTCCTTGTTCAGAACCTTGGTGTTCTTGTTCCTTGTTCAGCACCTTGGTGTTCTTGTTCCTTGTTCAGAACCTTGGTGTCCTGTTCCTTGTTCAGAACCTTGGTGTTCTGTTCCTTGTTCAGAACCTTGGTGTTCTTGTTCCTTGTTCAGAACCTTGGTGTCCTGTTCCTTGTTCAGAACCTTGGTGTCCTGTTCCTTGTTCAGAACCTTGGTGTTCTGTTCCTTGTTCAGAACCTTGGTGTTCTGTTCCTTGTTCAGAACCTTGGTGTCCTGATCCTTGTTCAGAACCTTGGTGTCCTGTTCCTTGTTCAGAACCTTGGTGTCCTGTTCCTTGTTCAGAACCTTGGTGTCCTGTTCCTTGTTCAGAACCTAGGTGTTCTGTTCCTTGTTCAGAACCTAGGTGTCCTGTTCCTTGTTCAGAACCTAGGTGTTCTGTTCCTTGTTCAGAACCTTGGTGTCCTGTTCCTTGTTCAGAACCTTGGTGTCCTGTTCCTTGTTCAGAACCTTGGTGTCCTGTTCCTTGTTCAGAACCTTGTTGTCCTGTTCCTTGTTCAGAACCTTGGTGTTCTGTTCCTTGTTCTTGTTCAGAACCTTGGTGTCCTGTTCCTTGTTCAGAACCTTGGCAGACCAGGAGGCCTGCTCGCAGACCGGACCGAGGGGATGTTAATCCCCGCGAAGCTACACAAGGTAGCCAGTCTTCATTACCTTTCACTAACTGGGGTTAAACTCTAAAAGCCACTTGTTCTCACTTCTGAAGATGGTGAAGGTCTTGCCGGCACACTTGTTGGTCCTTAACGGTTTCTAACCACCATAATTAGTCCTGGCTGGTCAGAAAACATGGCCACGGTCCTGGGGCCAGATTCACGAAGCAGTTACGCAAGCACTTACGAACGTTTACATCTTTCCTCAACCTTTGACACCTTTGGTTACATTTATTAAACAGTTTACAAGCATGAAAACTTGCCAATCAACTGTTGTTATTGTTATAAACAGCCTCCTGGTGCTTCGGAGCTCATTAACTGTTTAATAATTGTAAACTAAGCCGCTAAAAATTGAGAAAAGATGGACAGGTTCGTAAGTGCTTTCGTGAATCTGGCCCCTGGTCAGTTCTCTCCACCAGGTTATTGACGTAGATTAAGGAGCTCATCTGTTGGTCCCGGGTTCGATCCCAGGCGCCGGCAAGAAACAATGGGCAGACTTTCTTTCACCCTATGCCCCTGTTACCTAGCAGTAAAATAGGTACCTGGGTGTTAGTCAGCTGTCACGGGCTGCTTCCTGGGGGTGTAGGCCTGGTCGAGGACCGGGCCGCGGGGACACTAAAAGCCCCGAAATCATCTCAAGATAACCTACCTTCATGTAGATAAGACCTCTACCTTCCTGTAGATAAGACATCTACCTGCTGCAGGGGGTGGGGGGGGGGGGGGTGCACCACCACCACCACCACCAGCAACACTATTGCAAGTAGTGGTGGTGGTGGTGGTGGTGATGCAAGTGTTGGTGCTAGTGGTGGTGGTGGTGGTGGTGATGCTGGTGGTGGTGCTACTGTCAGTGATACGCAGGCAGACGTGTACCCAAATGTTGTCAATACTGGTGATTACGCCTGAGAGTGTGGCCACAGGAGGAACCTGCTCCTCCCACAACAGGTTTCCACGCTTCCTTTACTCAATATTTGGAAGCCAAAAATACGAGTTTATAGAGACGCGCAGTTATGTGGTTTACACATTTACACAAGCAAATGCACGCTCCCCCCACGCGCTCGCACGCGCGCACGCATACACACACACACACACACACACACACACACACACACACACACACACACACACACACACACACACACACACACACACACTCTCTCACTCCCCACGGTGTAGGTAGGTCGGCGCTCGGGGAGACATGATCACTGAAAAAGTTCTTTTTAACGTCCCTGTGGCTCATGTGGGTACTCAGCTTCCACCTGTGTCCTATGGTGCGTGTGCCATCAGCGTTGAATAGTTTATCTACCTACCCTGTCTTTTATCTTGTCTACCCTGTCAATTCCTCTTGAGAATTTTGTAGGTAGTGATCATGTCTCCCTTTACTCTTCTGTCTTCCAGTGCCGTAAGGTGCATTTCCCGCAACTTTTCCTCGTAACTCATGCTTCTTAGTTCTGGCACTAGTCTAGTGGCATACCTTTGGACTTTTTCCAGCTTCGTCTTGTGCTTGACAAGGTACGGGCTCCATGCTGGGGCCGCATACTCCAGGATTGGTCTTCCATATGTGGTATACAAGGTTTTGAATGATTCCTTACACAGGTTATTGAAGGCTGTTCTGATGTTAGCCAGCCTCGCATACTCCAGTAGCATTTCTCTGACCATCTCTGCAACCTGTTCAGGTCCTCTTGGAGGATTCTGCAATCCTCATCTGTCACAACTCTTCTCATCAACTTTGCGTCATCCGCAAACATCGACATGTAGGACTCTACGCCTGTAAACATGTCGTTAACATATACAAGAAATAGAATTGGTCCCAGCACCGATCCTTGTGGTACTCCACTTGTTACTGTTCGCCAGTCCGACTTCTCGCCCCTTCCCGTAACTCTTTGGCTCCTTCCTGTTAGGTAATTCCTTATCCATGCTAGGACCTTTCCCCCCACCCCTGCCTGCCTCTCGAGCTTGAACAGCAGTCTCATGTGCGGTACTGTATCAAAGGCTTTTTGGCAGTCCAGAAATATGCAGTCCGCCCAACCATCTCTGTCCTGTCTTATCCTCGTTATTTTATCATTGAATTCCAAAAGGTTTGTTAGGCACGATTTCCCTGTCCAGAACCCATGTTGATGTTTGTTCACAAACCTAATGTTCTCCAGGTGTGCAACCAGTCGTAGCCTAATTATTCTTTCAAGTATTTTACAGGGGATGCTTGTCAGTGATACAGGTCTATAGTTAAGTGCCTCCTCCCTATCACCTTTCTTGAAGATCGGTACGACATTTGCCTTCTTCCAGCAACTGGGCAATTCTCCTGACATAAGTGACTCATTAAAGATCATTGCCAGAGACACGCTGAGGGCCTGTGCTGCTTCTTTTAGTATCCACGGTGATACTTTGTCTGGTCCAACTGCTTTAGTTGCATCTAGAGTTGTCAACTGTTTCATTACCTTCTCTGCTGTCACCTCCATATCTGATAGTCTTTCATCTAGGGTAATCTCTTCTAACAATGGGAGCTGCTCAGGCTCGGTAGTGAACACTCCATGGAAACTGGCATTCAGTGCCTCGCATATTTCCTTGTCACTTTCAGTATATGCCCCCTCTGTCTTCCTTAGTCTTGTCACTTGGTCGTTCACCGACATTTTTCTTCTTATATGACTGTGTAGTAACTTAGGTTGTTTTTTCGCTGTGATCGCAATATCGTTCTCATAGTCCCTTTCCGATGTTCGTCTTATGTTAATGTAATCGTTCCTAGCTCTGTTGTATCTGCTTCTGTTGTCCTCTGTTCTTTGTCTTCTGTACTTCCTCCACTCCCGCCTGCTGGCCATTTTTGCTTCCTGACACTGTCTATTAAACCATGGGTTATTATATTCCTTCTTATTTTTTCCCTTTACTGTTGGTATAATACTCTCTTCGGCCTCCTGACATTTCTGTATGACCAGGTCCATCATATCTTGGACTGTTTTTCCTCTAACGTATGCGCGCGCGCTCGTGCGTGCGTGTGCGCGCGTGTTCGCATTACCCTGGCTACACGTGCTCTCAGCCTCGCTCAGCCTCAGTTTGTTTACACAATCAGCTGACTGGACGAGTGAGACACAGTCCACACGGCAAGTGTTCAGGACGTGATGATAGCAGCTGATATCGGTGGATAACTATGCAACATAACCGGCAAGCACACACACATATATCAACAGGTAGACGGAGGCGGGGGAGGAACCTGTATGGAAATGAGCCAAACCAGATATGATGCAACATGGCGGTAGCCGCCCAAGCAACCCATTTTCGTTATCGTCATAATCTTAACCCCTCATGATATCTTCCCATGATCATACACACGATAACATCAATCTACGCATCTGAGATGTGTAATTGTCATGATATACAGTGATAATGGTGGTATTAATGCTTGTTTACATTGAGCTTGTTTACCTTGACAGGATGAATTCCACCCGTTCATCGAAGCGCTGTTGCCACATGTCAAATCCTTCGCCTACACGTGGTTCAACCTGCAGGCCGCCAAGCGGAAATACTTCAAGAAACATGAGAAGAGGATGTCTCTGGAGGAAGAGAGGAGGTGCAAGGATGAACTCCAGGTACGTGACCTCTGGCGCTTGACCCCGCCTTGACCTCTCTTACACGCCCCCTCCTCACCCCAGCCCCCCCCCACACTAGGTGCTATCATCTGGAATTTGCCTCTTGGGTGTCTCGCTATTTTTTTTTTTAAAGGGACGTTTAGATCATTCTTTTAGATTTTAAGACATTTCTGAAGGACATCATTTTAAGGCGTTTGTTTGTTGGTTTGAAGATTTGGGGTCTTGGGTACACACGGGGGGTCGTGGGTACACACGGGGGGTTTGAGGGTACACACGGGGGGTCGTGGGTACACACGGGGGGTTTGAGGGTACACACGGGGGGTCGTGGGTACACACGGGGGGTTTGAGGGTACACACGGGGGGTCATGGGTACACACGGGGGGTTTGAGGGTACACACGGGGGGTCGTGGGTACACACGGGGGGTTTGAGGGTACACACGGGGGGTCGTGGGTACACACGGGGGGTTTGAGGGTACACACAGGGGGTCGTGGGTACACACGGGGGGTTTGAGGGTACACACAGGGGGTCGTGGGTACACACGGGGGGTTTGAGGGTACACACAGGGGGTCGTGGGTACACACGGGGGGTTTGAGGGTACACACGGGGGGTCGTGGGTACACACGGGGGGTTTGAGGGTACACACGGGGGGTCGTGGGTACACACGGGGGGTTTGAGGGTACACACAGGGGGTCGTGGGTACACACGGGGGGTTTGAGGGTACACACGGGGGGTCGTGGGTACACACGGGGGGTTTGAGGGTACACACAGGGGGTCGTGGGTACACACGGGGGGTTTGAGGGTACACACGGGGGGTCGTGGGTGCACACGGGGGGTTTGAGGGTACACACGGGGGGTCGTGGGTGCACACGGGGGGTTTGAGGGTACACACAGGGGGTCGTGGGTACACACGGGGGTTTGAGGGTACACACAGGGGGTCGTGGGTACACACGGGGGGTTTGAGGGTACACACAGGGGGTCGTGGGTACACACGGGGGGTTTGAGGGTACACACAGGGGGTCGTGGGTACACACGGGGGGTTTGAGGGTACACACGGGGGGTCGTGGGTACACACGGGGGGTTTGAGGGTACACACGGGGGGTCGTGGGTACACACGGGGGGTTTGAGGGTACACACGGGGGGTCGTGGGTACACACGGGGAGTTTGAGGGTACACACAGGGGGTCGTGGGTACACACGGGGGGTTTGAGGGTACACACGGGGGGTCGTGGGTACACACGGGGGGTTTGAGGGTACACACAGGGGGTCGTGGGTACACACGGGGGGTTTGAGGGTACACACGGGGGGTCGTGGGTGCACACGGGGGGTTTGAGGGTACACACGGGGGGTCGTGGGTGCACACGGGGGGTTTGAGGGTACACACAGGGGGTCGTGGGTACACACGGGGGGTTTGAGGGTACACACAGGGGGTCGTGGGTACACACGGGGGGTTTGAGGGTACACACAGGGGGTCTTGGGTACACACGGGGGGTTTGAGGGTACACACGGGGGGTCGTGGGTACACACGGGGGGTTTGAGGGTACACACAGGGGGTCGTGGGTACACACGGGGGGTTTGAGGGTACACACGGGGGGTCGTGGGTGCACACGGGGGGTTTGAGGGTACACACGGGGGGTCGTGGGTGCACACGGGGGGTTTGAGGGTACACACAGGGGGTCGTGGGTACACACGGGGGGTTTGAGGGTACACACAGGGGGTCGTGGGTACACACGGGGGGTTTGAGGGTACACACAGGGGGTCGTGGGTACACACGGGGGGTTTGAGGGTACACACAGGGGGTCGTGGGTACACACGGGGGGTCGAGGGTACACACGGGGGGTCGAGGGTACACACGGGGGGTCGAGGGTACACACGGGGGGTTTGAGGGTACACACAGGGGGTCGTGGGTACACACGGGGGGTCGTGGGTACACACGGGGGGTCGAGGGTACACACAGGGGGTCGTGGGTACACACGGGGGGTCGTGGGTACACACGGGGGGTCGAGGGTACACACGGGGGGTCGTGGGTACACACGGGGGGTCGTGGGTACACACGGGGGGTCGAGGGTACACACGGGGGGTTTGAGGGTACACACAGGGGGTCGTGGGTACACACGGGGGGTCGTGGGTACACACGGGGGGTCGAGGGTACACACAGGGGGTCGTGGGTACACACGGGGGGTCGTGGGTACACACGGGGGGTCGAGGGTACACACGGGGGGTCGAGGGTACACACGGGGGTCGAGGGTACACACAGGGGGTCGAGGGTACACACAGGGGTCGTGGGTACACACGGGGGTCGTGGGTACACACAGGGGGTCGTGGGTACACACGGGGGTCGCGGGGACACACAGGGGGTCGTGGGTACACACGGGGGGTCGAGGGTACACACAGGGGTCGAGGGTACACACGGGGGGTCGAGGGTACACACGGGGGTCGAGGGTACACACAGGGGGTCGAGGGTACACACAGGGGTCGTGGGTACACACGGGGGTCGTGGGTACACACGGGGGTCGAGGGTACACACGGGGGTCGTGGGTACACACGGGGGTCGAGGGTACACACGGGGGTCGAGGGTACACACAGGGGGTCGTAGGTACACACAGGGGGTCGTGGGTACACACAGGGGGGGGTCGAGGGTACACACAGGGGTCGAGGGTACACACGGGGGGGTCGAGGGTACACACGGGGGGGTCGTGGGTACACACAGGGGTCAAGGGTACGCACAGGGGGTCGAGGGTACACACAGGGGGTCGAAGGTACACACAGGGGTCGAGGGTACACACAGGGGGTCGAGGGTACACACAGGGGTCGAGGGTACACACAGGGGGTCGAGGGTACACACAGGGGTCGAGGGTACACACAGGAGGTCGAGGGTACATACAGGGGGTCGAGGGTACACACAGGGGGTCGTGGGTACACACAGGGGGTCGTGGGTACACACAGGGGGTCGAGGGTACACACAGGGTCGAGGGTACACACAGGGGGTCGAGGGTACACATGGGGGTCGTGGGTACATTCAGGGGTCGAGGGTACACACAGGGGTACGGGGGGTCGAGGGTACACACGGGGGGGTCACACAGGGGTCGAGGGTACACACGGGGAGGGTACACACAGGGGTCGAGGGTACACACAGGGGGTCGAGGGTACACACAGGGGGTCGAGGGTACACACAGGGGGTCGAGGGTACACACAGGGGGTCAGGGTACACACAGGGGGTCGAGGGTACACACAGGGGTCGAGGGTACACACAGGGGGTCGAGGGTACACACAGGGGGTCGAGGGTACACACAGGGGGTCGAGGGTACACACAGGGGGTCGAGGGTACACACAGGGGGTCGTGGGTACACACAGGGGTTAGGGGGTCGAGGGTACACACAGGGTCGAGGGTACACACAGGGGGTCGAGGGTACACACGGGGGTCGTGGGTACATTCAGGGGTCGAGGGTACACACAGGGGTCGAGGGTACACACAAGGGTCGTGGGTACACACGGGGGTCGAGGGTACACACAGGGGTCGAGGGTACACACAGGGGGTCGAGGGTACACACAGGGGTCGAGGGTACACACAGGGGGTCGAGGGTGCACACGGGGGTCGTGGGTACACACAGGGGTCGAGGGTACACACAGGGGGTCGAGGGTACACACAAGGGGTCGTGGGTACACACAGGGGGTCGAGGGTACACACGGGGGTCGAGGGTACACACAGGGGTCGAGGGTACACACAGGGGGTCGAGGGTACACACATGGGGTCGTGGGTACACACGGGGGTCGAGGGTACACACGGGGGTCGAGGGTACACACGGGGGGTCGTGGGTACACACAGGAGGTCGTAGGTACACACAGGGGGTCGTGTGTGGTTGTGGGGGGGACAGTTTCTAGACGAGGGAGAGACGGAAGTGCAGCGACAAAGAATTCCACATAAATTTTAGGATGGACGGGTGTGTTCGCCCGATGGGTGACGGGCGGGGCCTTGACGGGTGACGGGCGGGGTCGTGACGGGTGACGGACAAACTGGCGAGGCTGTGACGGACATCTGGAGACGACAGGTCCAATTTCTGGGTGATGAACTCCCCCTCTCTCACCCATTCCTTCTTTTTTGTACAACTTTTCGTAAATGTAGATTCTCGTTTTAGTGTCAAGTTTAGGATACAAGTTCATATAATTCCCGTTGTGTATCATCCTGTATCATCCTGTACCATCCTCATTTGTGAGTGGAAACTCAACCTAGAGCCACTAGCAATTGGAACTCTCGCTCTCACAACGACTCTAGAAGCCAAGAGCTTACTGAAGGCAGCAAGAAGCAGTCTCCAATAGAGGCTCGTTAAGAACTTAAACTCAGGAAGCTCTGATATAATGATAACTGCTCTACCCAGGTTCAAGCTCCATCAGATATGCAGTATGTTAAGTTAGTGTGTGAATTATCCCCCTATTATATTATCCCCCTATTATATTATCCCCCTATTATATTATCCCCCTATTATATTATCCCCCTATTATATTATCCCCCTATTTTATTATCCCCCTATTATATTATCCCCCTATTATATTATCCCCCTATTATATTATCCCCCTATTATATTATCCCCCTATTATATTATCCCCTATTATATTATCCCCCTATTATATTATCCCCCTATTATATTATCCCCCTATTTTATTATCCCCCTATTTTATTATCCCCCTATTTTATTATCCCCCTATTTTATTATCCCCTATTTTATCTACCCTATTATATTATCCCCTATTTTATCTCCCCTATTATATTATCCCCTATTATATTATCCCCCTATTTTAATCGTAGACCCTTATTCCTCCAGTAGCCCACTCCTTATTATCTCCAATTTTGTTTTGTTTTTTACATCTTAATATGTGAGGTCTCGTGGTCCTTCCTTTATTCAGTTCCATCTGCTGTGGCCCTCAAGGAGGTTTTTACCAGTCCTCCCTCGTCAACAACTTATTTTAATATTCCGTTTTCTTCGTGAAGGGAGCTGGCTGTTCTA